GCGGATCTCGATCGATCCCCGGAGAACCGGGATGGGGGATCCCGGGTGGGTTTTGGGGTCCCTTAGATGGATTTTGGGGATCCTGGATGGGTTTTGGGACCCTCCCCGGTGGATTTTGGGTTTTCCTCAGATGAATTTGGGACCACCAGGTGGGTTTTGGGGATCCCAGAGGAGTTTTGGGAACCCCTCAGGTGGATTTGGGATCCCCCAGGGGGATTTTGGGGATCCCGGGTGGGTTTTGGGACCCTCCCCTGTGGGTTTTGGGGTCCCTCAGGTTGATTTTGGGGATCCCGGGTGGATTTTAGGGTTTCCTCAGGTGGATTTGGGATCCCCCAGGAGAATTTTGGGGATCCCGGGTGGGTTTTGGGACCCTCCCCGGTGGGTTTTGGGGTCCCTCAGGTGGATTTTGGGGATCCCAGGTGGGTTTTGGGGTCCCTCAGGTCAATTTGGGATCCCCCAGGGGGGTTTGGTGTCCCTCCGGTGGATTTTTTAGATCCCGAATGGGTTTTAGTGTTTCCTCAGGTGAATTTGGGATCCCCCAGGGGGATTTTGGGGTCCCTCAGGTAGATTTTGTGGTTCCCAGGTGTTTTCTGGCCCCTGTGGGGGCTGATTTTGTGCTCCCCCAGGTGGGCTTGGGTCTCCCCGGGTTTATTTGGGTTCCTCCGGGTTTATTTGGGACCCCCCAATGGGTTTCAGCCCCTCCCGGGTGGGTTTGGGATCTCCAGGTGCTGATTTTGGGGTCTCCGGGTTGGTTTTGGGGTCTCCAGGTGCTGATTTTGGGGTGCCCATGGGGGGTTTGGGGTCTCCAGGTGCCGATTTTGGGGTCCCCGGGTGGGTTTTGGGGTCTCCAGGTGCTGATTTTGGGGTTCCCGGGTGGATTTTGGGGTCTCCAGGTGCCGATTTTGGGGTGCCCGTGGGGGGTTTGGAGCCTGAGGGGCCCCGTGTGGGGTCGGGGGGGCGGAGCCGGGATCTCCCCACGGGATCCCCTGGATGACGTCACTGGATTCCCCCAAGTGACGTCATTGTGTACCAGGTGTCCC